CGCAAGTTTACCGTCCTCAGTGTTGGTCTCCAGGGCAAGGTTGAGCAGGGCTTTGCCAGCACCTGCCGAGACCAGCAAGCCACGCTTCTCAACGCACTCCGCGGCTGCCAGGTAGACACTAGGAATGGGAGAAGAATGTTTTTTAAGCAGATATTTGCACGCCATTCCACTCACACCAAAAAACTTTGACACGCTCGTGTTGGCGTAAACAGTTCCAGGGTAGCGGCATAAATAACGCCTCCATAGGCTGCTTAGTTGGCGTTGGTAGGCTTCTGGTTGGACTGGAGAAAAGCGAGACTATTAATTTAATGGCTACTTTATTTCCTTTCAGAAAGGTAGTTTTTGTGAAGCAACAGGAAAGAGGTCGAAGATAAAAAGAACTAAAATAGGGCGCAAAAATGAATTCATTACGTCTTAGGCGTTGGTCAACGACAGTATGACAAAATCCGCATTGGATAGTTAATAGATTAGTTTAGAAAATACCCTAGAATTACGGAAATAACAGCGGTAAACTCGAAAGAATCTTGAAGTTCATGATAAAGATGACAGAAGCTAAAGGTGCAAAGAACCATGGGGAGATTTCGTTTAAAGTTAAGCATTTATTAATGCGTCTAACAGGGGTACTACGTAAAGACTCTTTCAACCGAACTGGGCATGGGCTGGGCGAAACAGGAACATAAATTCGGTCCCGGGGTGGATCAAGAACGCCGTTGAACAACTAAGGGCAGCGACGTTTACTGAGTACACCGAGAAGTCGACGGCAGACTCGGGGCTGATTGGTCAGTTTCAGGGCTGAAGTGGTTGTCTGTTTTAATTTGAAGATATTCTTTGGGATAAAAAGTAATTTTAATGAGTGAATTTTCGAGTTGCGCGCCCCAACTCGTCTTCGGTCTAACAGGAAAAGTGCAATAAACAACTAAAATTTCAAAATTGCCGAAAAAACAATAGTTATATAGGGTGAGACGTGATTGGAAGTTGTGGCCTCAGTTAGTCTCTGTCAAGCGACCTCTGTCTTTTCCATCGTTCTTTGACGTGCTTATAAATACCATCCAACCCGACGTGCCGGTTGATGCATGAATCGTCGGAGTGCATGGCTTCGAGGAATTCTCGGCTATTTTTGGAGGGGGCAAACTCCGAAGATGCGTGTTTTATCTCATGCAAAGATATGTCCTGTGTCGAGGCGTGTTTTCCAGTTTATGCGGTTGTTTGTTTCCTAATACACCTCAGTGGGCAGCTATATTTAAGTCCGCATTCGTGTAACCACTTAAAGCTCGAATTCTTGCACTGTCAGTTAGAATTCGAGGGTTGAAAAGCCCTGGGGGTTAATGCTGGGAATGTGTCCATTCCCACGATTACTCTGTTAGCATACGCCTAA